CTAATGTCGCTAGTTACCTTAATATTGTACTAGACGTCCTTCTCTTTGTAAATTACGATATTACAATATTAAGGATGGGTTTTACAATGTTCTGGAACTATAACTATCCATAAAAGAGTAATACAAGATCTTAGTATTGTAAACATCCGAGTTTACAAGTATAAGGACCCAATTTACCATCCGAATGTTCCCATTTACCCTAATATTGTATTACATGTCTTTATCTTTGTAAATTTCGATATTACAAGATTAAGGATGCATTTTACAATCACATGGAACATAACTGTCCAAAATCGAGTAAAATAAGACCTTAATATAGTAAAAGTTTGTGTTTACACGTATAATGACTCACTTTACTTTCCTAATGTCCCTAGTTACCTTAATATTGTACTAAACGTCCTTCTCTTTGTAAATTACGATATTACAAGATTAAGGATAGGTTTTACAATGTTCTGGAACATAACTATCCATAAAAGAGTAATACAAGACCTTAGTATTGTAAACATCCAAGTTTACAAGTATAAGGACCCAATTTACCATATGAATGTTCCCATTTACCCTAATATTGTACTACATATTTTTATCTTTGTAAATTTCGATATTACAAGATTAAGGATGCATTTTACAATCACATGGAACATAACTGTCCAAAACCGAGTAAAACAAGACCTTAATATAGTAAACGTTTGTGTTTACACGTATAAGGACCCAATTTACTTTCTCAATGTCCCTAGTTACCTTAATATTGTAATACATGTCCATCTCTTTGTAAATTACGAAATTACCATAATAAGGATGAGTTTTACAATCTCCTGGAACATAACTATCCTAAATAGAGTAATACGAGACCTTAATATTGTAAACATCCATGTTTACAATACGAAGGACCCAATTTACCTTCCGAATGTTCCCATTTACCCTAATATTGTACTACATATTTTTATCTTTGTAAATTTCGATATTACAAGATTAAGGATGCATTTTACAATCACATGGAACATAACTGTCCAAAATCGAGTAAAACAAGACCTTAATATAGTAAACGTTTGTGTTTACACGTATAAGGACCCAATTTACTTTCTCAATGTCCCTAGTTACCTTAATATTGTAATACATGTCCATCTCATTGTAAGTTACGAAATTACCATAATAAGGATGGGTTTTACAATATCCTGGAACATAACTATCCTAAATAGAGTAATACGAGACCTTAATATTGTAAACATTCATGTTTACAATACTAAGGACCCAATTTACCTTCCGAATGTTCCCTTTGACCCTAATATTGTATTACATGTCTTTATCTTTGTAAATTACGATATTACAATATTAAGGATGCATTTTACAATCATATGGAACATAACTGTCCAAAACCGAGTAAAACAAGACCTTAATATAGTAAACGTTTGTGTTTACACGTATAAGGACTCAATTTACTTTCCTAATGTCCCTAGTTACCTTAATATTGTACTAGATGTCTTTATCCTTGTAAATTACGATATTACAAGATTAAGGATGCATTTTACAATCTTGTGAAACATGACTGTCCTAAACAGAGTAATACGATACCTTAATATAGTAAACATTTGTGTTTACACGTATAATGACTCAATTTACTTTCCTAATGTCCCTAGTTACCTTAATATTGTACTAGATGTCTTTATCCTTGTAAATTACGATATTACAAGATTAAGGATGCATTTTACAATCTTGTGAAACATGACTGTCCTAAACAGAGTAATACGATACCTTAATATAGTAAACATTTGTGTTTACACGTATAATGACTCAATTTACTTTCCTAATGTCCCTAGTTACCTTAATATTGTACTAGATGTCTTTATCCTTGTAAATTACGATATTACAAGATTAAGGATGCATTTTACAATCATATGGAACATAACTGTCCTAAACAGAGTAATACGATACCTTAATATAGTAAACATTTGTGTTTACACGTATAAGGACTCAATTTACTTTCCTAATATCCCTAGTTACCTTAATATTATACTAGATGTCTTTATCCTTGTAAATTACGATATTACAAGATTACGGATGGGTTTTACAATTCTACGGAACACAGCTGTCCGAATTGTTTGTCAATTGCATTATTCGTTTGCAATTTCCAACTAACTGTTTGTCAATTGCATTATTCCTTTGCATTTTCGATCTAACTGTTTGTCAATTACATTATTACCTTTTCATCTTAGGTGAGGCAATCTATCAGTGCCCTTTCCATCTTATGGTCACTTCCTTTGGAATTAACTAATTGAACCCATTGAGATAGAACAATACACAAATCCTGTGGAAAACGAAGCCAAACGTTAAGAAAATAGGCATGCATGCACGTTTGCAATTTCAAACAGACGGTTTGTCAATTGCATTATACTTGTTCAATTTCTAACTCACTGTTTGTCAATTGCATTCTGTTTATTCAATTCTCAACGCACTGTTTGTCAATTGAGTTATTTTCGTTTCCTCCTAAGCGACCCAATCTATCAGTGCCCTTTCCATCTTATGGTCACTTCCTTTCAAATTAACTCATTCAATCCATTCACGTACAACAATACACGATCATATTTGACATCATTATATAATACGTTTATAGCATCAAACAAGTTACATAAGCTTTGGGGTTACAAAACTATTTCAAAAGGGAATTGAAATCCTATGGAAAACCAAGCCAAAAGGGTTGAAAAAAGGCATGCATGCATGTTTGCAATTTCAAACTTACGGTTTGTCAATTGTATTCTTTTTGTTTAATTATAAACTAACTGTTTGTCAATTGTATTATTCTTGTTTAATTTCCAACTTACTGTTTGTCAATTGCGTTATGCTTGTTCAATTTCCAACTCACTATTTGTCAATTGCATTATGCTTGTTCAGCAAATCAAAAACCCATTTACTTCTGCTTAGTTTCTTCCTGTGCTGCATTAATTTCTGCTTAGTTTTTCTGGTTTTCTTTTCATAACATAATTACTTGATTTCATAGAGGGAAAATTACCCATAGAAATAGCTGGTTTTCTTTGAGCAGATCAATATAGCAAAATGTTATATTGCTGGTCTTTGGGAACTCAAGTGTGGACAAGGATAATTTTTATTTTATTCACTTTTACCTACACCAACCCTTTTAACAGGTTACCAGCATTCAATGGTGTGGATTTAACCCTCATCTCCACTTACTCATCCAATGGCTGATATTTTGGGCGCATGGATACACCACGCCCATTGTAGAATTTTCCTATAAGTTCAATAGGTGTCACAGCCTTTGCACGATTGGAATGCAAATGAGAATTCTTTATTTATTGATTATGAATTTTGGTATTCTCATACTAACAACGCAAAAGTGCAAAATTTGTTCCGTAAATTGGCAATTGCATATTGGGATTCCAAACGTTGCCTCGCTGTTCGAAGAAGTAGTATTATATGACAACATTCACAAGGAAAATATAATTTCGACCAAAAATCCGAGGAAAATATAATTGCATCCATGTTTAATAGTGTTTAGGACTTAACCGTTCCATAACATTGTAAAGTTTATCTCTAATCTTGTAATAGAGATCATTTCTATTTATGATATTACAAGTTTATGGATACATTTTACAAGTTTATGGAATACTAAGATCCATAATATTGTAAAAAAAAAAAAGGTCCTCAATTTTGTATTTTCAAGATAAACATATAAAAATGGGTCATTATTCTTGTAATGGTGGACCTTAGCAATGTAAAATGGGTCATTATTCTAGTAAAAAATGTTTTACAAGATTAAGGAATGAGGGTAAAATTTATTAGAGTGTTGGGCACATCACTGTTC